CGACAATTTTTGTCGAATATTTGTCGAACGTGACAACCAAAAGATATCGAGAGATATTATCGTATTATCTTGTTGGAGTAGTAGTGGTTACGTACACACCTTACCAACACCTCCTACCCACCCGTACCGTCAAGAATAATAATGCGTTTTAAAAAGGAAGACAAGAGTATAATATTATCATATAAATAAAATTCGGGAGGGGAGTGTCCCGAGGGGGTCGTCGGGGGGTGTCGGAAAGGATCGGTTAAAATCCTCGTAGTAAACAAAACAAAACAAATACTTAAATAATCGTCGAAGATGCTTTTCGTCGATTCAAAATCATTCGTGGAAGGGTGCATGCATATTTATCGAACGTGACTTGTACGATAAAGAGAATAATAATCAGCAAAAATAATATAAAAAAAAAAAGAAAAAGAAGAAGAGAAGAAGAGAGGAGGAAAGGGTTGAAGTTAAATGAAATGAATTTATTTACAAACAAATATTACAAAATCGAACAATTTTGTGTGTGTATCACAATGACGAGATAATTTTTTTCTTTTCTTTTCCATTTCTTTTGAGAGCGCACAGAGAGAAAGAGAGAGAGAGAGAGAGAGAGACCTGAAAGAGAAAGATGAAAAAGGGAAAGATGAAAAAAAGGGAAAGAAGCAAAAGAGGGCCAGGAAAAGTTCTGGAATCATGCCATAGGAAGTGTGTACATGTATATATATGTATGTGTGTATGTGTACAGCTTCTGTACAATTGTTGGTTCGTCTCTTAGTAAAGTGAATGCGTGTGTGCGTGAAGGGTATACACCTAAGGGGGACGAAAGAGGGTGGAAGAGTAGCACGTCATGCCAACCCCAAAAACCTCGAAACCCCCGGGACAGTGCCGTCTCATCCGAGTACACTTACGGGAAACGCAATTTAGTCACGTAATGCTTCTGCTAGGCTTAAGAGAACTTCACCGTGTTACTTCTTCCATTCTTATTCTCTCTTTCTCTCTCTCTCTCTCTCTCTCTCTCTCTCTCTCTTTCATTTCTTTACGAATAATAAGAGTGTGTGTGTTGTCTCTCCTCATCTTATTCTATTTCTACTTTTATTTCTACTACTTCACGTTTCTTTAATCAACATACTTGACATTATATGTTAATATCTAATTGTGAAATAAATCTAAACAATATTTTTTATAAATTTTTTGAATTAAGAAAAACAGTATGTAAATGTAATTGTAATAAATTAGAGTAGGAGGACAATGATCTGTATGAAAGTACTATGAACTTTTAATAATCCTAGCACGTAGCACAATTCATTTGAGAGAGAGAGAGAGAGAGAGAGAGAGAGAGAGAGAGAGAGAGAGAGAGAGAAAGANAGAGAGAGAGAGAAAGAAAGAAAGGTGTGAAATAAATTTTATATTCTAAATTTCTAAATTCAATTCTATTTCTATTTCTAAATTTGTTAAATTAAACAAAAAAAAGTATGTAAATGTAATTGTAATAAATTAGAGTAGAAGGACAATGATCTGTATGAAAGTACTATGAACCTTTAATAATCCTAGCACGTAGCACAACTCATTTGAGATAAAGAAAAAAAACATGTAAAATAAATCTAAACAATATTTATATAAATTTGTTAAATTAAACAAAAACTATATAAATAAATCTATTTATAATAAATTACAATAAGAACACAATGATCTTTACGAAAGTACTACGAACCTTTAACAATCCTAGCACCTAGCACCTAACACAATTCATTTGAGAAAGAATGAAACATCTAATTATTGCAACTAAATGTTTAATTCTATTCTATCTAATCCACACACACATACCTAAACAATTACTATAATAATAACAATAATAAGAATGAAAACAGAATAATACAAATTTCAAAGGATACTAAGTTTATATTTAATGCTCGTAACAATTTAAGTCTTCCTTCTTCTTCTTCTTCTTCTTCTTCATCATCATCAACATCTTCTTCTATTCTCTCTGTTTCATTTTATTTGAAAAACTTTGCACCCTTCTCAGAAATAATTCGCCATAGCTCAATTACCAGAGGACACTTAGCTATTTTTACGCATTTATATGCGCGTACACTGGCGCCAAAGACAATCCATCTATTCAACTTCGGTTAAAATTGGAACGTGAAACGTTAATTTGAACGTTTCTGAGTCAACGACAAAAAGAAAGAGAGAGAAAGAGAAAGATTTCGTCTCTTCTACTTCTGTCCCTGTCTGTCTGTCTGTCTGTCCGTCTGTCTGTCTGATTGTTTGACTGTCCCCCTACACCTTTCATTTCTCTTTTTGTCAAACAATTACAATCTCAAGGAATCCCTTTATAATATTTCGCAAGAAGAACGAGTTTGAAACGAATGATTCTTTGGTTTGTAACAAATTATCACGACCCCCTCCCTACCCCCTACCCCCCTACCCCCTTCGTAATAAGAAAATAATTAGTATTACTCTCTTGTATTTTAATCGTCGTTTCGATCAAATTCCTGTCGAAGAATTTTCCATTTAAAAATAGTTCAAGTAAACGTAAATTTTTCTCTACAAAAATTGCATTCAATTAACAGGAGTGTCATTAACACACGCCATCCATGTGTATTAAAATTTTGCTTAGTTCATACATGTGTTTGATAATAATTAAAAGTGATACTGCAATTCTATTTTTTAATGAAAAAAAAAAAAATATCGTTAAATCAATTGACAATGAGTTTGAACGTATATCAAAATTGTGATACACGTGACAAGGAATTTAAATTGATCAAACAATTATTATTTAAGAAGATAATTAAATAAATATTGATTTGATTTTTGTTAAAACAAATTCGTAATAATACAATGTGTATGTATGTGAAAAAGAAAGGAAGAGAAAATTCAAGAGGGGTGAAAGAGACAGGGTGAAAGGGAAGGGATGATAACTTTGGAGACTGACTCACTCACCCTTCGAATAAGAAGAGAATTACTCCCTGCAAATTGTTCCTTCTTTCTATATCACGAAAAACTATACTTCTCTTATATTATATTACACTTTTAGCAAATATCTAACATTTATAGATGCTAGTAGTTTGATCTCATTCCCCTTTTATTCTTTCTTTCTTCATCTTGCTAAGTTTTAATATCTAACGTTTGTTTCTCTTGTAATTTAATTTATTTCGATAAAACGAGGACAACCCGATAAATGTCATCGCTCGACGTTACGATATTTAATCGAACTGATGTAATTTCTAAAAATGATGTAATCCAAAAAATATATAATATAATGAAAGATGATTATCTGTACTATTGTAAATCGTTCAAATATTTTTACAATATTTTTCTTCTTCTTCTTCATTTTTTTTTTTTTATTTAAAAAAACAATTTTGAATTAATTCGTCATTTCTATTCTCTATCCTGTAATTTCTACGATGAGAAAGTAAATCCTATCAAAAAAAAAAAAAAGTGTTAACATAAACTAGAAAATTATTTCAATTAAGATTGCAATCAAGATGAAATATCTGATAATGAGTTTATATTTAAAAAGGTTGGATAGATTCATCTCGTTCGATAGATGGACTAGCCGCCGACTATTCCGTCGGGTGGCTTCGTCAAGTATCAGAATTCCAACTGACGAGAGTAAAAGTGAGAATGAAAATAAGAGTAAGTTCGAGAGCGAGAGTTAAGAATGAAGAGATGAGGGTAGAGGTAAGAAGATATACCAAAGTAAAAGAACAAAATGATAATAATAATAATAATAATAATAATAATAGTAAGAAGAAGAAGAAGAAGAAAGAGATTTAAGCATGCGAAAAAATATACTCTTGGCACTGGGCATCGGCAAACGATGAGATAAATAGCCTTGCGTGGGTGCGGCTCGACCGTGTCTACAGGCCACACGCCACGTTTCGACCGGATCCGTGAGTTACGGGGACCGCACGGATAAGGAAGCTTAAGAATAAGAAGAAGAAGAAGAAGAAAATGAGATCTCACTCGAGACTTAACTGCAACGACGACGTTTTAATGGCACATCGACTTGAGTGACCCTCAACTATCCCTTTCACCTCCCTTACCGCCCTATACTAAATCAGATCTCAAATTATTTTCCAATTTCTTTTCATCTATATTACTACTTCTCTACTCTCATCGATATCTAAGAAATAAAGAAAGAAACTCCCATCCTTCTAGATTTTTTTATTAATTAATTGTCAACCCTAAAGATTCATGTTTTCTTTTTTTTTTCCTTCTTCTTTCTTTTTTCTTCTCATTCTCTTATCCATCCGTCCTATCTTTCCCGTGCTTTATCATTCGATAAAAGATCCGATTTTTGGTCCATTACTTTCCCCAACGAGATGAGTACTTACAGATTCGCGGTCGTAGTTTCGACCTTGGTTAAAAGAGAGAGAGAGAGAGAGAGAGAGAGAGAGAAAGATAGAAACGAGAAGACACACGTAGTAAAACAGCCTCCTATTCTTCTCTTCGTCCTTCGTCATTTGATTTTGACGCAATGCGTCAGGTCTCACCGCTGCACAACGTTTTCACACTTTCATGACCTTGCCAGGAGAAGATCCTTCACGATATCAAACCACGCTCGTAAGTAAGTATACCTCTCAAAGAAATGATCTTAACGACCTACTAGATGAAAAAGTTCTTTAGACTCTCTCTCTCTCTCTCTCTCTCTCTCTCTCTCTCTCTGGCGCTCTCTTAGTTGGACAGATGAATTTCAAGTATCGTCGGATGACGAAAACGAGTGATCAAATTCTATGCTATTTTTTGTCATAATCCATTCATCCTAAACTCTCGAGGAGGACCACCATCGAAGAAGCAAATAGTTTGAGAGAAATAAATTTCCTTCTCTCTTTCTGTTACTTTTTATTGTTCGCAATGGTTTCGAGGATACACACGTGTCCTCCTCGAGTGGACACGTTGCAGGCGCCAAAGTGACATACGACGATTACATATGACTCTGTTTAAGAATTGTCAAAGAAATGCTTATAGAGTTAGAATTAGTTAAAAAGAGAAATAAAGAGAAAGCATGTACTTACCCGGGGAAACGGCAAGGGCGAGGAAGGCAGCGGCGGTGGCGACGAGGAATATCCTGACGGCATGTCCACCGTCGCGTCGTCTTCTGCCCGGTCTCCTCGCTACGTGACAGCAGGAGGCGGCAGCTGGTCTTTTGGGAGAACGAAGTAAAAGGACGTAAGCCGGCTCGTCCTCCGTCCTGTTTGATTCTTCTGTAGCCTCTGCCGACGGTTGAAGTAGTCGATGACGATGCCGATGATATTGATGATGATGATGATGACGAAGGTGATGCTGTTGCTCTTGTTGTTGTTGTTGTTGTTGTTGTTGTTGTTGTTGTTGTTGGGAATGATAGGAATGATGGGGATGATGGGGATGATGATGATGATGGTGATGATGGTAATGGTGGTCTAGTTGCCGGTGGTGGTGGTGGTGGTCGCTGGCACTGCAGCTGCTGCCGGTAGGGTCGATTACCGGAGCGTAATACATGGCCTGCAGGAGCGACGACGACGACTGCCGTACCACCGTGGGCTGCCCTCGTCAGCGTATCCGCGTCGTCGGTGAGGGCGAGCGCGACTCGAGCGCACCTGCGACGACGACACCCTGCGACGACCTGGAGGAGGACTCGCCGATGCGAGGCATCACCACAAACACTCGCAACTTTGCCTCGGCCCGATACCACCCTTATCCTTACCCCTGCGACCAATCTCTCGCCTACTTCCGCCACTCCTCCTCTCCTCCTCCACCTCCACCTCTTCCTCCTCGACGAGACGACACCGCTTCGCTCGCGACACTTCACCATGCACCGTCACTTCGACCGATGGACCCTCCTTTCCGTCCCAAACCTCCCGCCTCCTCCTCCTCCTCCTCCTCAACTACTCTACCGTTGCTTGCTGCGGATGACAAGGACGACGACCCTGCCTGCGATCGCCCTCCTCCGCGCCACTACCTCCTACCTCGCCGGTAGAGTAGCCCGCGCGAGAAAACCCGTCGACGGCACTCCCGAGAAAGGAGGGAAGAAACCCTCCAAAAACGAAATATATCGCGCGCGCTGTTAAAACCTCAACCACCGGACACAATGATAATAGACGAGAATGTGCATCGAGTAAACGCGTGTCTAAAAGAAGTCGTCCTTTAAAGGGAAAACTATCAAAACTTACTACTCCTTGCTATTTTCCTTTGATTCAACAACCCCTTCTTCTTCTTCTTCTTCTTCTCTTTCTAATACTACTGGATATCTTCTATTCTACTGACAATCTCCTATACTCGTGAAGCAAACGCACGTCCTAGAAACCACCCGGACACCAGCACCGTCCGCAAGGAAGTGCCGACGACCACGAGGTGGACGTCTCTGCGAGGCTCTACTGCCAAGAGCGGTGGTTATAGAGGCGGTGGTAGAGGCGGTAGTGGCGCCGGTGCTGCCAGTGGCTACGATTGCTGATCGTGCTGCTGCTGCTGTTGCTGCTGCTGCTGCTGCTGCCGGTGATAGTGCTAGTGGTGGTGCTAGCAGTGGTGGTGGTGGTGGTGGTGGTGGTGGTAGTGGGTAGTACTAATGGTGGTGGTGGTGGTGCACCGGCGCATCGAGTACCTCTGATACACGGTATTGCCTACTGTCCAATCAGTTCCGTGTCCTTTACACTCGATAAACTATCCAAAAGTACTTTATTTCTATCTCTTTCCGTATTTGCTAGTACTCAACTACTACCCACTCTCTGTCTCTCTTTTTTTTTTGTGTCTTTTTATTAACCGTCACGACGAGGTCTCTCGTTCGTCTGCTAGTCGCGACTCTCTCGCTCCACCGACTGGGGGTAACGCGCTTTTGCCCGCTGGCGTTATACGCGCCGACGACGACGTCGACGACGACGACGACGACGGCGGCGACGTCTACGTCTACGTCGACGTCGTACGCCACCGGCGCGACAGCTATTCCTCTTCTTCGTCAAAAACACGCGTTCCTTCCTACCTCCTATTCTCCGACCCTACACGCAACCAGACTTAATAATAATCGCCCTTAGTCTATTCTAAATCGATGACACAAATAAAAGAAGAAAAAGGTAAAATATTGTGTGTAAATAATTGTGATTACGAAACGAAAGAAGAAAAAAAAAAGAACATTAAACGAACCTAGTAAGAATTTAATTGGCTCGTGCCAAAATGTTTCCGGTTAATTCCTCCTACTCTCTTGCCTTGAAAATTATGCGATCACTGCGGGAAAATCTCGATCGACCTTCGCGACCTACAAAATCTTCGATCAGGTTCTTCTTTTTCCTTTTTTTTTTGTTGTTGGCCCTTTTGCCAATCCTGACGCAACCCCGTTTTTTTTTTTTTCAAATCCAACCACTTTACCGAATTTTTCTTCCTCCTCCTCCTCCTCCTCCTCCTCCTCTTTTATATTCCATATCCTATATATATATATAGGTTCTCGTATTTCGACCAAGAAGTTGTGTCCTCGATTCTTAACACATCGACTACGTTGTTGCGTCAGAAGGTAAGCAGTCAACCCCGTCGTGACTGGGGGTTTCGAGAGCACCTGGAGGACACTGGACTGACTGAGCTACCTCGCCAGGTGGTTGCAACTTGTTGTGGCTTGTCTACTCCCCTCCTAACATCCCACTACTTTTTTTTTGCTTGTTTTTTTTTTTTCATAATACGAAACCTCATAAAAATATTTTCACGCGTGAGTTTAAATGTGAATTTGAATAATTCAAATATAATAATTATATTTAACAATTATTTAAATCAATGTTATTAAAAATATGATCTCAATTGATCGAATCACATTTTAAACATGGTCACCCTGGTATTAATCTTAGAAAAGAAAAAAGAAAATATATTATAAAATATGGCATCTGTCTTTATGGGTCATTTACGATGCCCGTTGCGAAGTGATACCATAGAGACCCTAAAGCATAGACTTGAAAGGAATACATGCATGGTGGTTCGTCTTCTTCCCAAAAAATAAGAGGGGAGTAGTTCTTTTTTGGCCCCCAGGACAATCCTCCCTCTTCCTCCCTACTCTTCTCTTTCTTGTCGTGGCACGCGCTACTATTACCAACATGCCCTTTTTCTTTCTTTCTTTTTTTTCTCTCTCTCTCTCTCTCTCTTTCTTTCTCCCTCTCTCCCTTTCTTTCTTTCTTTCTTTTTATATCCCACCTCTTTTGTGAACCAGATCTACAGGATAAGAATTTCTTAGTCGGATGACCGGCTCGCGTGCGCCTTTACCTTTGCCACAACGAAATTTATTCCATCGGCCCTTCGTTTCCCTCCAACGTTTGATACTACAAACGTTAAAGGTTCTTTAGTGCAATTTTTATAATACGATTAAACGTTAGATATATATATATATATGGAAAATATCTAAGCCAATAGAGTGTAAGAATCGAGAGAGTACGTTTACTTTTTCTTTTTTTTTNTTTTTTTTTTTTTTTTTTTTTTTTTTTTTCATTTTTATCTGACCGACACGCGATATTAGTTTCTTTATAATCAAATTCATTCCTCGAAGAATGGAAATTATATAATACGCATAATCAGATTAATACTATTTTTAGAAACTACAAAAAAAGTATCCGGACATAATATCATTATTATTATAATAAATTCGTATGGAAATAATCTTTTGTAAAAATTGATTGTAAATGTTTCAAGGAAATTTAATATTCATATAACAATTTCTTTTCTTTTTTATTTTTTTTATTTTAGGAACAACGTAACACTAAAGAACTAAAATGCATCCTGTACTGCATAATAAAATGAATTCTTAAAACACCAATGATTATTATTGGCTAAGAAATACTGTGACATAAAATCGGTCATAATTCTTTCGATCGCAATCTTAAGAAATAAAAAAACAACATTTATTTTTCTATTAAAAAGCAATCATTTTCTTTTTTTTTTTTTTTCGACACAAAGATGCATATCTATCGAATGTGGAAAAAAGATAAAAGATAAGAAGAAGAAAAAAAAAGGAAAGATTGAAATCAAACATAGAAATGAATCACAAGGTATCTACTAGTACAAAGATAGATAAAGATAGAAAGATAGAGAGAGAGAGAAAGAGAGAGGGAGAAGAGAAGTAAAGTAAGAAAAGGGAAATGCAAACAATATCCGATCCATGCCATCGGATCGGCGATATCCTTTATAGGACGATTCCGCAATACTCGCCAGGAGGGTGCTTTGATAGCGACCCTCGGGGGTATTTAGAGATCCTCGGATAAATGGCGTCCCGCGGTGCGCATGCTGCGCAACTACGAATCGTACATACTACCAAAGCCACTTCTATCTTCTCTGTGTAGTATTCCTTTCTTAGTAATACGTCCAATGTATTTGTATAAAACACGTATCATCTAAATAGAATCTTTTGCTTAAGCAGATGAAAACCAATAACAACAACAACAACAACAAAATACTTTTTCATAATAATCGATACCCCCTTGTTCTGATCGTAACAGATTTTGTTCTTTAAACAAATTATCCAAACGTAAGCATTAAGTTTCATATTACAATTTCATCTTAAGTTTCTTCGATGGAACATTTTTAAATATGTCTTTTGTGTAATGCTAACATTTATAAATAAAATTGTTGTTGTTTTTTTTTTTTTTTTCTTTTATTAGTATACTAAACACGTTGAATTATTATGGGAATTATGTATTAGTGTCACCGCAGCAAAAAATCCGCTAATGCGCCATAAAGAGCAATCTTGTTGTTCACATACAATAACTTTGTTGTTTGCATATAGCAACCATCAGGGTTTCGTCAGGGTTGCGTCAGGGTTACAGCGACAGCATCAGATTTGGTACTGGTACATTTTTTGGTACTGAACAGAAACCCTGACGCAACCCTGACGAAACCGTGACAGCAGTTGCTATGTGCAAACAACAAGGTTGTTATATGCGAACAACAAGATTGCTATTTATTGGCGCATTAGCGGAATTTTTGCTGCGTTGGCGTTAATACGTAAATACCACAACTATTTTACAATCTATAAATTAATTTTATGATTGATATTAATAAATTTTTACAATTTTATTTAACAAATTTGCTGTTATAATTACAGCAACATGAATTATGTTATTTTATATAGAATAAAAAGAAAAGTTTGATGGTAAAGCAATTATAAATGATAACTTTGAAATAGAAGCATAATTATCGAGACAAAAGAAAATATCGAAAATTGCAGACAAGGAGGAGTCTCGGTATAATAATCGGGGCGTGACAGTGAAAGGGTTGCGATCGATATTTTCAACTTGCTTTCGAAGAGTACTCGTTAGATACTCCGTCTCTTTCTATTCTTCAAAGTTAAGACATTCCTCGTTAAGGATCGTTCGATCTTAACGATAAAACTTCTAACGATTTGACTCTGTCAAGTTAAACACCTTCGATTATCTGCTACGAATAAAAAGAAAATGAACAAGAAAAATAAAGAAGAAGAAGAAGAAGAAGAAGAAGAAGAAGAAGAGGAAGATGAAGTAAAGATGCGTGTAAGGTTGATCACACAAGTGGGACACTGCTGCTGCTGCTGCTGCTGCTGCTGTTACTGCGAAGAGGAAGAAGAATAAGAATAAGAATAAGAAGAAGAAGAAGGGGTTTAGGTCCCGTACGATGACAACGGCAAAACTCGAAACGACATCGTCGGACTTGGCTTCCGGCCATTTCCCAGCTATTGATCCATGAAGCGTTACGACGAAGCTGCCCTACGTGCAATTATAGGTGTATCTTCTCTCTCACTCTGTCTGATACTACTACTATTCGCCTACCATTGCCTAGGGTTAACTTATCGAGGTGCAAGGACATCCTAGTTACATATCTAATCTCCTCAAGATTCTACAATGCAATCGGATATCAACCCCATTTTTGATCGATATCATTGGTATCTCAAACAATTGGGTGTCTTAACTGATACGGAAAAAGAATATTTATTATTTTATTAATTAATTTTTTTTTTTTTAATATTTGTATATTAGATTATTAATTATATATAATTTATTAAATAATATAAAATATAATACAAAAAAATAAATTGTATATAATAAATGAAATAATAACGATCCAATATAACTGGATCGTACAATACTTACATGTATATTTATTGTCAATGTAATTCATGACAAATATGTTGATTCCAAAAAAAAAAAAAAAAAGGAAGAAAAGAAAGAAATGGATTTATTTTTCCATGAAAAGGAAGAAACATTCGGTCAGAGTAAAAAGAAATCGGTGTGAACAACTCCAGGTGCGTTAAAGGGAAGAGAGATCGAGGGGGAGTAAGAGGTCCCCTAGCAGTAATCGTCAACAAAACCCATGAGCAGTGACCGGTCAAACAATATACTGGCAGGAATCGACCCTAAACCAAACACGATCCTCGAACGAGACTAATAATGCCGATGCAATAATGAAATTGCACGCGATACGTAGAATTCTCTATCTTTCTTATTATTTTATTCTATTTTTGTTTGTTTTGTTTTCTAGGTATCTAATTGTGGATATCAACTAGGAGATAACAGATCGAAAACTTTCGTTTTCGACGAAAAAGAAAGCGAGTTAATCGATAGGAATAATCGCTCGAGTGATTAGACCGTCTAGGCGAACTTATGGCAATGTCCAAATGTTCCCTTTTACGTGAATTACGTTTTTAATGAAAGTTCAGAGATCTAATAGTTGATACACGAAACGCAAATTTATTATTATTAYTATTAATAGTTGAAATAATTTGAGAATTTAAATTTGAAAAGAGAAATCATGGATTTTGATGAAAGTTTGAATTTAATCCTTGTCAAAATTGAACAAACTCCAGACAATGTTCAAAAATAATTCTCATATATTTGAATGAAGTTTCTCAAAATTCTATAAAACGCGTATTTATTATTATCGTTATTTAAAAAAAAAAAAAAGAAAAAAAGAAATTCAAGAATTTCAGATATTAAAGGAGAAACTTGACCACCGAGTTTGAATTGGTCATAATTTTGGTCTAAAAAAAAGAAAATAACAGAATGAAAATAATACAATGAAAGAAAAATCTATAGAAGAACTCTAGTACAATTGTAAATCGTTCAACTTTCGCGTACTTATCTCTTTCTTGAGGAGAACATATTGATCTGTTAGCGTTTAGTGTGTCCGCCCTGTAAGTACGACACGGCGGTGCGTTTCCACGTATTCGTACAATCGATAACCGGGAATTAGTCTGCCAAGCTGTCTCCTACGACTAAGTTTAACGCAGAGCACACATAAGCTTGAACGAGCAAGAACTATATGCTCGCAGGTGTGCAATTGAATTAAATTATCATTTAAATCCATCTCTCCTCTCTCTCTCTTCCTATCTTCATTCCACTATTCTATACTCCTCTCTAAAAAAAAATAATTAACGATACGTGTTAAAATCGTATAATTCATTTAAAAAGAAAAATATCAAAATAAAAAAAAAACAAACAAATATTGTCACAGTAATTATTAAATCTTTGAACACCTTTGAACTACTAATACGTCATGTTGAAAATTTAATAGAAAATTCGTACGTTAAAATTATTAATAATTCATTTATCTAAAAATAAATACAACTTGACACGAAACACATCATTGAAAGTAAATCGAGTTCAAAGGGTTGATAAATTCAATGAAAAATAATTAAAAAAAAAAGAAAAGATTACTGATGCTTGGAAGATAGTGTTAAAACGTAGTAATGTTAAGAACGATATAAAGAAGTCATAAAAATAAAAATAAAAAAATAAAAATAAAAATAAAATAGATATGTACTAGGTACAAACGAGGCCGCGAAGCTATTACAAAAGAAGGAAAGAGAGAGAGAGAGAGAAAAAGAGAAAGATAGAAAGAGGATCACCGTAGTCGGTACAGAGGATCAATACATCACAACCACGGTCACAAAGAAATATACACAAGACATTTCTTTACATACGAAAGAGAAACATAGCACGTATATACGTATCTGAAAATACTTACAGTGTATAAAAGGGGTTCCTCCTCTTTTACTATTGTTTACTACTTTCCTCTCTCTCTCTCTCTCTCTCGCTTCCTAACCATCCTCATATTTTTTTATTACGCAAAGATATTACTTTCGATTGAAGAACTTTATACTAAATAAGTAATAATAATATCATTTAATACATATATATCCAATGTAATAAAAATTAATCTCATTTTTTTTTTCATCTATTATCGATGTTATCGTCATATTCCAACTATAGATAATATCGGGAAATATCTGGCATAGATAAAAAAGGAAAAAAGCTGTTAAAGCTAGAAATTCTCTTATTTTCACGTAGCTTTCATTTGTTAATTGATATTTATTTATTTATTTGTTTGTTTGTAAAAATTTTAGTATTTCTTTTTATTCCAAAGTATCTTCGCTGAAAAAATAAACACTGCGACATGGTAACATAAAAATCTACATTTTTTTTCAAAATAACATTTCAGTTAGAATATCGATAATTGACATTTAAAAATATATCAAAATCTTAGTTTATAGTAAAACACATTATTTAGGATATATACATTTGTGTATGTGTGTCTATAAGCAATCAAATAATAATAATCAAAATATTAATTCATTCGAATTAGTCAAACTGCAATACAAAAAAAAGAAAAAAGAAATCGTTGACAGGACTAATAATAAACCTTCCTGTAATAGCTTATATTTAATGGACTCTTAGATACTAAATATGAATGAATTGGTTGGTCGGTCAAGTCAAAACAGATTAGTGGTAAAATTTCATTAAACCACAACAACCATTAGTAGATGCACCCTGGTATTTGACTGTTTCTTTCATTAATGTTTATCTAACTATACCATGGATAGATAAACCATTATATTTGTGCACTTCAGCAAAGGATTTATTTCAAAAAGTCAGCTACCTCTGCCAATTCCCTAGCACGCGCCTGCTCGTGTGCCCAACGATCTTCTGCGAGTTTTTCGCTGACGCCCCATTTGTCATGATAAATGCGCTGTGCACAAGTTGGACATTTTTTACCCCCTAACGAGAGCAAAAATGTCTATAGAATTTTCATATAAAAAAAAATAATTATATTATTCGTCAATGGCTTACCATGGAATGGCGGTGTCTTCATAAATTTTAGAAGACATTGTAAGTGAAACAAGTGACTGCAATACAACCTTTCTACATGAAGGTCTGCTTTTTCGTCTAGCACTACTTCTTCTGGATTGGCCGGTAAGCAAGTTATCTTGCACGATTGACAATTTTCTCTGGGCAATGTTTTCACTGATCTACAATCAATGTTTATTGTAAAAAAAAAAAAAACAACAACTCAACTCATAGATACATGATTGTTGTAAAACAAATTAACTTACTTTATGAGGAAGGAAACAACGACATTTAAAGAGGGAGAACGTACAAAGACTTTTTGCCGAGGATCTGGCTTCAATGGTGGTTCCACGCATCTTCTACCTAATTCTTTACCTTGGCACAGTAAATAACGACAGAATACGGGTGGAAAGTTTGATTCTGCGTCCACTAAACTAAATTGAAACAATCATTCATATATAACATTAACATACAATTGCAAAATTACAAAAGAATGAATTCAAAATAAAACTTACTTTACACTATTCTCTGGATAATGATTAGGTACTTCAATCTTAACTTTAAAATAATATAATCCTTGTTGAATTCGCAATCCAATGCTAGAATTCTTCTGCTTCAATTTAAACTCGTCTTGCTCTTCGAGCAACTTCTTTATGGATGATATCTCATCGTAACAACAAATCAGAGGATTTTCTTCTATGAAATTACGAATAAACCTTAATGTCGGTAATACCTTGAGAAAAATGAAAAAAAAAAATACCTTTAGAAATCTTTTGTTTTTTCTTTTTTTAAATACAATTCATACGAATCGATTCACTGTCACTTACAATTACAACATACCTGCGCTTTTCCCAACAAATTCTTGCACTCTTTCTCACAGACTTCGGTTAACTTGGCAAGTAATCTCTCCGACAAAGTTTTACTCTTAAGCTCGATTAAAAGTGGGACGGAAGGATAATTCTCTGGGAATTGAATGCACACGACAATTTTCTTGAACGTTGTCTTCCTGAAATTAATCAAACGTTAAATAATACATTTATTCTTTAACATGCATTTATAATAATAAAACAAACATAAACTTACGTTATTTCGACGCGAACCATAGTCTGCACACAAGAAACGAGGCGACTATTATCGACGACATTGTGACAAAGTTTAGATACTTCGTGCAATTCATCATCGATAAATCCCATGGACAAGATCAATTAAATGTGTGTGTGTTTTTTTTTAATTATAGACTGTATTATTATTATTATTATTATTTTTATTATGTAAAGGAATAATAACGTTAGATCACTGTACGAAACTTGATACTATCGTAGCAGTACGTAGTAGACACATAACAAAAGAACGTACACATAACCTTAAAAGCGAATCACATAAAACGCGAGATTATTCACTTGTGACGTAATACAAATTATTAATGCACAGATATTCTTTTTACTATTCGCTCGTAATAACTCGTGTCACCTTACCAAGGTCATCCTGGTATTTATGCAAATGTTACCTGGTCTCTATGTGTTCACTTCGACAAAGAATCTAGAAATAAAACAATTTATATATCGTTTATTATGAACGAACGATCGATATATAATCGATATCTAAATGATAACTCTTATTCTCGATTATTATTATTATTAATATTGTTAATAAAAAGAAAACAAATATCTATACCTTTTCTTCTAACGTCTTCTAAACCATACACAACAATTTCTATTAAATATCTATTCAATGTTTAAAGCTACGTGCTTTCCTACCTATGCTGTCATGGCTTCCAATTTTGCCGCGCAACGATAACAAACATTTGAATAACGACCAAGTTCAAATTTTGGCGCGTATTTTAAGAATCGTCGAATACTTTTACTAATAATTTTTACGGACCTGTTTATTATTAAAATAATGTTAGTCTATTATTTAACAGATTATAATTTATTAAATATAATTGTATAATATTAATATTTTATTTGTAGTTAGAGTAAAAATAATGTGTTTTCTGTGAATTGAAAAGAATTCTATTTGTATATCAAAAATTGATGAAAAAAGATACCGTTCTTACCAACGAACTTAATTTAGAATTATACCGAATATTCTAGTGAAGGCGCTAGTTTCGATAAGTCCTTCAACAAGGTTATGTTCAACGGAAAGTAATAGTTTGATTGAAGAGGATGCCAAAAGAATCTTAAGTAATAATTAGTTAATTAAATAGAGACAAAAAATGGAATTAATTATAACGAGTGATAACGTCGCCGAAAGTTGGAGTGCAGCAGTGTGGGATCCAAATACAGGAACACTTGTATCAATCTACAAGCATGCAGCACCTATTGCAAATAAGACATTACAAGTTTTAAGTGATTGTTATTTAATTGGTGCGGATGCAGCTAAACCATTAATACACGTATGGCCATTAAACAGTCAAAGACCAATTTCTAACATCAGATTAATAACTCCAGGAAAAGTATCAGCTTTAACGTCCACCTCGGATGGTTCTTACATTGTAGCTGCAATTAATGAAAAATTATACGTTTGGCAGATTTGTAATGGTCGATTATTAGCTATAATAACGCGACATTATCAAACGGTAACGTGTTTGAAATTTACCAGAGACAATTCAATGTTCGTTAGTGCTGGAGAGGATGGTTTGATATTAGTTTGGTCATTGTTCAATGTAATAAACAACGAGGAACAACGATCTCAACCTATTTATACTTTTTCAAATCATACTTTGCCTGTAAAAGATATTTACATTGGTCATTGTGCACCACGTGCGAGGCTATGTTCAGTTTCGTTGGATCATACCGCAAATGTTTTTGAACTCAAAAGCGGTAGATTGCTCGCTACATTTGTATTTGACCTACCATTGACCTCGGTTTGTATGAATATAAAGGAAAGCGAATTATTCGTTGGTACTACCAGTGGTTTAATTTACAAATTTAATCTCCATGAACCACCACGTGGTATAGAACATCACGTGAAAATTTTAATGAACGAAAATGCCGAAGATAGCACCATCTATCGGGGACACGAATCAACGATTGTTTCTCTGTCGGTATCGACCGATTGTCGTCATCTACTTTCCGCGTGTTTAAATGGAAAAGTACATCTATGGAATGTGGACAATCGTGAAATTGTTAAAACATTTTCTCACAAAGGACAAATAACCTCGGCATTCTATTCCAAACATTTTAACAATTTTCACGTAAAAGATTTAAAACCATCTTTGCATATTCATCCATTGCAAAGGGTATCCGAAGTAGATAACTCAAAGGAACATATTATCAATATCACGAGAAAAGGACGAGATACTTCGGATTTTGTAAATTTGCAATCTTTTGTCGAAGAGGAATCTTCTCCTTGTTGTTCTTCTTCGTCTTCTTGTTCTTCAAAAGTTGACAGTGATGTTATTAGTAAATTGGAAAATCTTAAAGAAGAAAATCAACGTCTTAAGAAGATCAATGCTGAACTCTTCAAACATTCCGTTGAATTTGCTGTAGAACATAATTTATTTTCCACTTCTCAAGAACATCAATAAACATTCTTTGTATAATTGAAAAATAAGTTTAAAAAAAAATATGAATATTCTATAAAAAAAAACAATTGTATAAAATCTTAAGAAAGAAAATCTATATCTTAGGAAGATCAATACTGAACTCTACAAATCCTCCATTGAATTTGCTTTAAAATATAAATTATTGACCAATAATCAACAAGATTAATAAACATTATTTGCATAATTGAAAAATAATTAAAAAATATGTATACTCTAGGAAAAAATTGTATAAAATCTTAAGAAAGGAAATCTATATCTTAGGAAGATCAATACTGAACTCTACAAATCCTCCATTGAATTTGCTTTAAAATATAAATTATTGACCAATAATCAACAAGATTAATAAACATTATTTGTATAATTGAAAAATAATTAAAAAATATGTATACTCTATGAAATAATTGTATAAAATGTTATAAATGAAAATAAAACATTTAAGAAAATCACCCCCTAAATCTACCAATGCATCATTAAATTTACTTTAAAATATAAATCATTGACCAATAATCAACAAGATTAATAAACATTACTTTTATAATTGAGAAATAATAATAAAAAAAAGAATATTCTATTAAATAATTGTATAAAATGTTATAAATGAAAATAAAACATTTAAAAAGAACACCGCCTAAATCTTCCATGCTTCGTTGAATTTATTTTAAATATAAATCATTGACCAATAATCAACAAGATTAATAAACATTATTTGTATAACTAAAAAATAAAATATCCTATGAGAAAATTTTATACCCTTTTTTTTTTCTTTTTTAATTTTATTATTACATTGATAGAAATTTAATAGAAATTAGGGATTACTCGAGATGTAATAGCCAGATTTGTTTGTTGATTTAATTTTGAATGAAGAGAAGAGAAATGGTATTACCCTTTCCCTAATTCTCTCCCTTTCTCTCTCTCTCTCTCTCTCTCTCTCTTACTCATACTCTTTCTCAATTAATTTGTAAATAATATTTCATTTCTAAATTTCATACCTGTATTACATTTAATTTTCTAACGTTGTTTTCATCGATTGAAATGTATATTTTTTTTTATAGAAAAAAATTTTCATTTTAAGAAATAACGTTGAATTTACGAGACTAAAAAAATACAACGAACTATAGAAAGAAAGAAAGAAAAAAAAAAACAAGAAAGAAGAAAATAATGTTATTACTAAAGTGTAACGTTAAACGTAACATAGGATCCCCTTATTAACGTCATTTTCCTATATCCTTTGTATTTAAATGAACTAAGGTTTAGTTAGGTGCACGTATGTAAATGAAACAAGCTCATAGACAAGATAGAAGAATCGTGTTTTACAAGCAAATTAAGGAACTTTAACTATAGTACTACCAACCAGTTTGCATATAAATTAATTGATTTGACTTAAACGAAAAGTCTATGAATCGATTTGAATTAGAAAATTGTTTGTTTTTTTTTTTATGGTTAACCATTTGACCTAGACGAAATCTGACAATTTCGTGTGCCATAAGAAACTTGAAAATCGGTCGTTTACTGTGCAATTCAATTATTCCGCTGTATACTTGCTCGTTTAAATTCTATAGCACGAGTCAGACACGTGGTACTCGCTTATAGCACAAATTTTGTACCCCGAGTCTGACTCGTGGTGTTCACTTATAGCACAAATTTTGTACCCCGTGTCTGACTCGTGGTAATAAGTCAAGGGTTTAATCTTACCAATAAATCATATCGATGATCGAGTTATATTTTAACGAGTTATAATGAAAAAAAAAAAAAAAAAATCGATTAATTGTTGAGACGTTGTAATTGATCGATCAATCAATCAATCGATGAAAACGTGGTGAAAAAAAAAAAAAAGAAAAAAACTAAATTGTCACGTCGGTTAGATTAATGCACCTGAAATGTGTATCCTAACGGGGAATATATCGATGAGGATATGTCACGTCTAACAATAATAATACGTTATAAGCTGTCGTACAATCATAGGGTCACGCTTTATATAAATCTACGCGTGATTCGATAAAATAACGCGTCCTAATTTTTTTTTCTTTTTTTTTCAATGTAAAATCCCCCTAGGAAGGTAATAAAAAAAAAAAAAAGATTGTCAGGATCTCGATTTTCAATTCGTGTTATATTCGGGGTTATCGATCTATGTATTCTAAATATTACCACTTGAATGTCGAATAATTTTCTTTGTTTTTTTTTTTTTTTTTTTGGCAATCATACGTTTGAATAATCAATCAAAGAAAGTATAAGAGAGAGGAACATATTTATAGTTCATCTTTTTTTTTTTTTTTGGTTATTTACAATAATCGTTATTGTTTAAAGTATAAGAGAAAGGAATTGTATAATTATTGGATTGTTCGGAAAGTAATTTACATTTTTCTTTTGTGTGAAAATGAAGACAATTTTTGCTTCGTGATTAAACCTAGGCCTTTCAAGTGGGAATAAATGGTTGAATTTGATCAATTTAACCTATCACTGATCCTCACGTGTTGTTATTTGTCAATTTGCATCAATTAATGCTTCACAATTGTGTCAGGAAAAAAAATTATATATATATATTTATTATAAATAATTAGAAAAAAAAATAAAAAAAAAAAACAATAAAAGTATAAATTTGAACAACATTGGACAAATTGATTTTCTTTATCATTTTGTTTTTTTTTTTTTATTCTAAGAAAACAAAAATACGTTTGAGTTGATCCATTACTTTTCTTTTACTTTTATAAAAAAAAACTATTATACTTTATACACAAAGAAAATAATACACAGAGAGAGAGAGAGAGAGAGAGAGAGAGAGAGAGAGAGAGAGAAAGAGAGTTTGAAAGAAGAAATTTTTGTATTAAATTCGCATCATTGTATTTGGTACGTCGTGTATATAAAATCTTAACGTAGGTAATGCTCGGTGAAACGCAAAGAGGAACGCGTTTTACGGTGGTACGAGTCGAGAAACGAAGTAAAGGAAAATCAAAAAAGGAAAAAAGAAAAAAGAAGAAGAGAAAGAGAGAAGGAGAATGCTTACTGAGATGTTAGAAAAGTAACAAGGGAGTGAAAGGGATGTGAGGGAAAGGAGGAATACTTATGGGGGGTGTATGGGGGATATCAACCCCCTTTCTCGCAAAGAGGATGGAGGCGCTTGGTATAAAATCGGACGGTAGATACCTCGAGACATCCAGTGTCGACGTGTTCTCCATACTCTGCACCATCTTTTCTTTCTTCTTTCCAACAACCCTAAGAAAAGAATAAGAAGAAGAAGAAGAACAAGAAGAAGAAGAAGAAGAAGAAGAAGACTAAATTGAAGAAGAAAAATTCTCAATTTTTCAAAATGTCCTATCATCGTGCATTTCTACCATTGATCTTACTGATATTTGCAATTTCCATCGATCGTAAGTTTTCAATTTATTATTTTAAAGTATTATGAAATTAATTAACCCTTTGAGTGTTGAATATTTTTAACTAAAATTTTTTGTAATAACGAAATAATTTATTATTATTAACCAGATTTATATATAATAAATTTATTATATATAAATAATTATAGTATATTATATTATTATATTAATATT